GGTTTCCAGTAATAGCAGGCAGCTGACGATGACCACTTCAGCTTATTGTTTCAGGATTGTACTATTTCCATGGTGATCGAGAGTTAAATGATAAAACTTCTCCAGCTTCTGATAGACTTTTTCTCTTAGAGGAGATGAAGCCTAAACTAGTTTATTTCTTTGTTGGCTTTCATACCAGGCAGCCAAGCCACTGGAGAACTGTGGATCCTTGTTTATAGAAGTGGCTATGACTCAGCATTTGGGGATTGTTGTAGATCCTGAGTGGCAGTGGCATAGCTGGGAGTAAAATCTAAAGAGTTTTGACAGTCCTCTGTCTGCTCTGAATGGCAGACTCACTGTTGTAGGCAGATTGAAAAATGTGCTTTTAATTCTGCTTTTCTGTAATATCTATCACTGAAAGATGGGAGTTGTTCTAGAACCAGCAGTGGAAGAAATGACAGATTCAGACACTTTGCTGTGAGGATACTGTAATTAATGCATGAGATGGGATTCCTGAGAGTAATTTCATGGTCATAGAGTAAAGGAGTGTCTACAAGACACAAACTTAATAAAATACACCTGTTCGCCCATTTCTTTCCCTGGGATCTGCTTCATGCCACGCTGCGTTTGGTAATGTGGTGCTACTACCTCGCATGACAGGCCTGTAAAGCGGGTATTTCCCTGGGGTCCTTGTTGAGCTTGCCCGGTGAGTTTGCTCAGCTCTCTGACCGGGCTGTGGTGTCAGATCCAGGCGTACCTGCTGTGCAACAAGCTGCGCTCGGCGTACCTGGTGTCGGTGCGGCAGGAGCGGGCACGCGCCGTGCAGCTGGTGCAGCGCGTGCGGCAGCTGGCCGACAGCAGCGGCGACCACGTCGTCACGGCCATCTGCGCCCAGTGGCTCTCCGTGCACCAGCCCAAGGGCAGGAACCGGCTCCCCCAGGGCACCAGGAAGTGATGCGCCACTGACACCAGCCGTCCTGCCCAAGGAGAAGGCTTCAGGACGGCTCAGAGGCGTCTGCTTCCGCAGCCTCTAGGTACAGGGGAACTCTGTTGGCTAAAGGTGGTGGCAGATGGATGTCGCTAATGTGCCTCTGGTGAAAGGAAGGGAACTAAATTACAAGTGCCAGTCCTGTATTCTGACAAACAGTCACTACCTCAGGGTGTTTTTTGGCTCTCTTTTTGATGGGGGGGGGGGGGCATTTTCAAACTGAACAAGCAAGGATTTAGTTGTATGGAAGACAGCACTTCTGTTTCTGGCTTTAGTTTTTGGGTTTTGTTGGCTTTTAATTTTTTGGGGGGGGGGGGTTGATATTTTTGAAAAGCACTGGACTTATTTATATATGTTTTATTTTTAATCCAGAAAACATATGTAGAGAGGACAGAAACATTTTATCAACTCATTGTAGCCTAGAGTATAAAATTTTTGTGATGTTTCCTGAAAAGTTTTCAAAATTGGAGAATTCTTCTGTTTCAAAGACTAAAACTCAGATTTTTTTTTAAGCCTCTAGAAAAATCATTGCTACTTCTTTTTTATCCCCCCCCACCCAGTATAGAGTACCCATTTTTTTTAGTTTGTTTGATAAGGTAGGAGCTGATTCTTTTGGCAGATTTGAACTTACCAGTGTTCACACACTGTGTTTTGTGTGCCATAGATGTGGCACTTGGTCTAGTGCCAACTAAATGAATGAAGTTATAAAGGGCATGTGCTGTAAGGGAAGTACAAAGGGAAAATAAGCCTTTAAAATAACTGAAAAATCATGTGCCTCTTTCTTTACTGCAGTAATACCCAATAAATCATTGTGCTGCAGCTTTATGACTGAATAGTTGACAGTAAACTTCCACAGTTTTTCATTAGGTATGGCAAAGAATAATGACAGAGCAAGCTGTGGCAAAATTAAACAGGTGGTCTGTATCCCTTTCACATAGGGATGTATTTATTTATTTATTACCAGAATAATTTGTCCCTGTCAAGTACAATAGAAGATGGAACTGGACATGCCCTGTATTGATGGGTTTTGCTCTGGAAGTGCAACTTGATTGGTTTTATGAAAAAAAAAGCATCAATCTCTGTGCAATGTCTGTGTTCAGGGATGCTGAAAAAAAAGTAGCTGCTTCTCTGCAACTAGTATTGGGACATGACAAACTGGCAAAAATGTGTTAGACAGTAGTAGGACTGTCAAAAAAAAAAAAGAACAAAACATGGCATTCCCCAAGTTTGTGTTTGCTGTTTACATGTATTTCAGCACAAGAAGTAGGAAAACTAATTCACTTTTTTATTAAAAAGTTGTTTACATTAAAAAACCAACAGGTTTTCTGAAGTGTAATGTAATTGTAAATAGTTTTAGTACATAAAATAATTGAGACTATGAAGTTAAGAGTTTTGCACTATCCCCAAGCTCACTATAATGAAAGAACAGACTTCCATGGTGTTGGAAAGGATTTGGTCCATTTTCTTCAGGGTTTCAAGAGCTGACACAAACACTTTGGAGGTGCTCTGCTCTGCTCACTAGAGCAGAAATGACCACATACAGCTTTCAGAATCCCCTGACCACAGATTTGCATTATCTCATTAGCGAGCAGTACTAATGAAAGCTTTTGTTTCCCTGGCCAGACTGACCTAGCTTTCCATCAGCTTACAGCCATCAGGCTAATCCTAAAACGTGACACTACCTATGGCTTCAGTCATTTTTAAATCTCTGATTACGGGGAGGAGATTTTACTGTGTGTGGGTATCCAGATCTGCATTGCTGTATTGTTCCTGTTCTGCTCACGTTCCTTCAGCTGCAGAGAGCACTGAGAGTGGAGTTTGCCATGCAGACCTGTCAGTTCCCTACCTGCCTTTCTTCCTGACCTCTTTGCACTGTACCTGATGCACTTTATATAGTGTTTGGTGTAATTTGATGTTCTTAACCTGGAATTGTAGGGATCTTTCTTGTACCAGCAGAACTGGAATTTTGACCCCGATTAATTACATTGTGTCATAAATTGTGCAATTATCAAGGGGCTTTGAATTTTTGAGCAGGAAGAAGGGATTGAATACTGCCAGTTTAAGAGAATTTCTCTGTTACTGACCAAGGTTTGTTTACAACTAAAACAAAAATAAAGTATTATGACTGTTAATGTATTTTCAGTTTATTTTTTTATCCCAACACAGCTAGGGTTCTCTTTCTAGACCTGCATTTTGCTTTTGGCTATACTTAGTGGAATAATTAGAAGGGGGGGTAATTGTTGTATCATGCCAAATTTACATGTTACTGAGTATCCTCAGTATTTAGATCGACTGGAATGTCACATCTTTAGAAGTCCCCCTAGCAGCTAGGTAGCCTAGGTAGTTCAGCCTCATGCATGTACTCAGTAATCCTCTTTAGGGAGCTTTGCAAGTTAATCTAACTCTCCCTTACAAGCCTCCCTTTGAGACAGCTAAATGAGCTTTAGTTTCCTCATTTTTTAGAGATCAGCTGAGAAGTATAAATTACTTGCTCAAGGTCAAAGAGAGTGGATGTATGTCTATGGAAATGTTTATTTAATATGTCTTATGTTAAATCTACAATTAGAAAAGTGCATTGACCTGCAAGGGCAAAAGCATTTAACACCAGAGACACTTTTCTGCTTTTGTAAAAAATGGTTTCTCTTGCTCCTGAAGCCACTTTCAAGATCAGAGAATGACACACAGAAAGCAAGCCAACGCTCCAGTGGTAGGTAACATTCTACTGCTACATTATAGTTGTGGATTTAGCTTCATCATTGGGATGCAGCACAAAAGAGGGAGGGGGGAAAAAAGTAGAGTGACCGGGAGAAATACAAAGGAACTTTTGAAAGTGCTACCTGGACTGAATTCTCTACATTAGTGAGGCAGGTGCAGGTAACAGCAACACCAAGTAAACTGATTCAGCATTTCTGAGAGAAGATACAGGGTCCAGTTGTAAAAGGAAAATGGTTTTATTTAGTATTGCTCAGAGGTAGCACAGGACTCATCTGCATAGGCAGCATCCAGACAGGAAGAATTAAAATTAGCATTGGTTTTCCACAACTGGCAGTTGGTCACAGTGGCAGGTTCATATGCAAGTCCAAAAACTTCTAGGCATTTTTTCAGAAGCAGAAGATAATCCTATGAGCTGTGGCACTTGGTTTCTGACTGCTTAACTCTTTCAGAAATAACCTCTGATCACGGATTGCACTCCAGCAGTTTGCACTCACATAGCACTGGGGTTCCAAGGGAGCAGTCCCAGAGCTGTGTGGCCTGAGGCAGCTGCTTGGTGGAAGTGCAAGCTGTGTGGTCCTGCAGGGGCAGGCAGCCTTGGCTGGCAGCCAGGCACTGCCTGCCCCGCACAAGGATTTCTGTGCAAGTCTTACCTTCCTGTCCTGGAGCCAGCTTGGCCATAATACCAAGATAGTCCTGCCTCCTGCTTCAGCTATTTAGCTCTAGGAGGTTTGGTGTCATTTAAAGCTAAAGTCTCAGCTGAAGTTGTTTAATATTTTTTAACATGGTTGAGATGTTCCTTGTTCATTCTGCTCTATTTTCTAGGTTCTAAAGTCATTTAAAGTGCAGCTGGGGGGGTTTACTGTGACAACTTTTACATCATCTTTGTTCAATGCTTCATAAGAGAGATGCTGATTTTTTTAATAACTTGTCTATGCACAATTGCAGCCCTCCTGCACCTTTTAACCTCTTAGTCACCTGCACCAAAACCTGGGTTCTCAGAAGGTTTGCCAACCCCCAATAAACCTACTGCAATAAGTGGGTATTAAGGGCCATGATACCTCAGTGGCTAGGGTCCAGCTTCTTACAGAGCATGCAGAGAAAGCGATTCCATGTAAAAAAAAAATTACCTAGTGCTTGGCACAAAAAGGCCAGGACCTGTTTTTGTGTGCTAAAGAGTATTGCATAACTTTCCAGAAAATTTAATATCCCAAAGTATTTTTGCTCTGCCAGTTCAAAGGGTAGGAACTGAAAGTAATCTCATAGTTCAGAGTCATACTAAACTCATAAGTTTAGAGTCCTACCTTATTACTATTGCTGTTAGGGAAAAAAACAACCAAACTTTATTTCAAGTAATGCCTTGTTACTTCATAATCTAAACCTAAGACTGCAACCTCCCTCTCTATTCTAAAGCCAGAGAACCACAGCCTCGAGGTGCTGTGTGAGATAACAAGCAGGTTGCTCCCTGCATTAGTGCTCTAATTCTCCAGCTAGGAAGAGGGACTGATTGCTTACAAATCTCAATCCTTAAGTGTAATATTGCAGAAATACAACTTGTGTTGTGCCCGCAGAGCCATCCTTAGGGCAGCTGAAGTATCAGTGTTGTACTCTTGAGGTCTCTCAGCAGTGCTGTTCCCTGGAGAAGCTTTGCTGGGCCCAGCCAGGGACACTCTTGGTGCAGCTCAGTCCCACTGGATGCCAAGGAGCTCACAGCTCACGCTCCAGAGCTTCTTTGCCGTCTCATCATCCCGACCACGTGGAGATACGTACGCTGGCTGGCAATCACTGTAAGAAAAACATTCTTTTCATTCTTTCAAGTCTAACATCTCCATCTACATTAGTACACTGAAATGTCTGTGTTGAGATTAGGGAGTTGCTCTCTATCAGCTTAATTCAAGACTAGTTCAAGAATGGTGGGAGCTATCCAGCAAATGAGCAAGGGTTGGTGCTAAGCCACCATGAGAAAGATTTCTTTCCAACTAGCTAGGGAAGAATCTCTCCCAATGGCACCAAGAACTGGCAAGCAAGTGTAGCTCTATCTGTTGTCTCAACTCTTAAAAGAAACCTCACTAGTGTGCATTCTCATTAATACCACTAAAAAGGCATATAGACTCCAACCAAGCTCTTCAGGAGCACATTTCCTAAAAAACACTGCAAAAAAGTTACTCAAACAGCCCTTCATTCTAAACTATTTATCCCACTGTATACCCAAGAATAACACTGTAATAACCATGTATGGTTACCCCCTTTCCATTATCATTTGAACTGTGCTCCTTTCTTCTCAGCTCCTCCAATCAGAAAGCATTCAGTCTGGAAAAGAGGTCCTGTGTTCTCAACTATAATGCTGCAATAACTTGGGAGTTTAAGAGCACAGAAGAAATGGTATCTTGTAACATTTCCATTCAGCTCAGTGTTTATAGATGGAGTCTTTAATATGCCTGAAATGACTGGTGGACTCCCACCTGTCTCACTGTGGCATGAAAATTTTTTTCTTAATGTCTACACTTGTGTTTTATACTCTATGGCCTGGAAAGTAAAATGGATTCTAGGCTAGTCCAGTGTAAATTGTGAATTAGTGTTGAAACTTCTCATTTCCCACCAGGTCCAAAACTCCCTTTTTTTAATGAGTTTAAATTCCAGTTTTTAATGAGTTTAAACACCAGTTTTCTCTACTTTGGGACATCAATGCTACATTTTTATCCCAAGACAGGCAGTCAGGGAAGACTTAAGATGTCTATTTATACATTCACGTCTGATTAAGATGGTACTAACTCCCAAATGAAGATCAGGCAATGATGTCATTACAGAGACTAATCTGATCACAAATCACAAGAAGAAAGCTCTGCAAAGACACAATGGCTCCAACAGCATCCATGTGAGGGAGGAGAAAAAACCCACGACTTTTTGTATTTGTTCCCAAAAAACAGTATTGTTACAGTGCTCTACATGCAGTGGGAAGCTGGCAGACATATCTGTGGGAATCTGTTCGAATAGCAGTCTTCAAATATAGAATGATGATGACTTGAAACTGCTCTGGGCTGTGGTTTTGGTGATGGGAAAAGAACAATGTAGGGTCCTGGAATGAGTCAAAGAAGTAAAAAATAACAGGTTTTGTAATGGGAGCTAAACAAGACCATTTCCATGACAGTGTGACAAACAGCCCAGCAAGAGTCCCCCCCAGCTGGTAGGTCTATCACACTGGAGGATAAAGTTATTTGGTCACCTGCCAGACCTGAAAATCTCACCTGTCTCTGCAGCTCCATCAGCTCTCCCAGCTCCCTGAGAGCACAGGCCCTTCTGCTCCAGTGGAGTGAAACTACAAAGTGAAATGAAGTGTCTTCCCAGCATTGACTGAAGTGACCTAAGTAACTACACAGTTCTACTGAAAAGTGATTTTCCCAAGTGTTAGGCAGGTCAGCATTAGAGCTCTGAGTGTGTGACAGCCATTCCTGCATTTTGAGTACATTAATATTTCTAGCACTACAGGACATGCTATTGCATGAAGTGTTGCACAGGTCAGGTGTTTCTTCTAACATGATTGCAACAGACCTGAAAGGGGTAATGCTCTATTTGTCACCCTCAGTCTTACCAGACAGCCTCTTACCTGGTCCCTTCTTAAAGAACAATGACAGTAAGTGCCATATTCCTCAGCCAAAGCCGCCTTCCACAGAGTATCACTTCATCAGCTTGCACCCACCTGAAATACTGTCCTGTCACAGACTCCAGCTCCTCAGCTACTGCACAGTAGATACTGGTCTGAGCTCCTTCACAAGGTGTCTTCAAGAAGAAGGAGAATATCTTCCACAGCCAGGTCATTACAGACGAGTGCCGGACCAGATCCGAGTACACAGACCCGGGATGGAGAGCGTTTGCTGTGACTTTAGTGCCTATGGCAAAATAAAACAGTCCAAGACAAATCCACATGGATCAAAATGTCTTTAAAAGAAGGGTAATATACTCCTCAATTCTACCTGTAGATAATCTATAACTTAGAGGAGGAGTCTTTTAAGTAGCCTTAGATACAGAGAATAAGTGCAGTCCTCTGTAGTTACTGCATGCTGGATGTGATGGATACACTTGACCTCTTAGCCAAATCAGCTGTAGTTTGGTACAGGCTCCAAAGAAAGTACAGGTGTGAGCTGTAAACGGGCCAGAACTCCTCTAGGAAATCCACAGAAGCCAGTGAGTATCAGTGCACATGCATTTGGAACACCCATCAGGCAGTTCACACAAGTAGCACACGGCTTTCCCAATACTCTTCCATCCAGGAACAAATAAGGTTGTGGATGCACTGAGTCTCATGTACCTTTCCCACTGTGTATAATTTGAATAGCAGCCAACCACTCCACTCCATAAATATTACAGCCTAAGTAAGCCTTCTCTGAGCTCTCCCTGCTAGGAGATTTGACTGCAGGGTGACAGTCTTCCCTTGAGCTGGCTCACCTCTCAAGGCTGCTCCTCAAGGCAGAGACCTTTTACCAAGAGCAAACTTTTGGATGAGCCCAGCTGAACCTCAGCTCAAGCTGCAACTGGACTGCAAAGCAGGTAACTCCCCTGGAGCAGAGATGCCTCTCAACGTTTGAGATTTCTTACCTGAGAGCCTTCCTTAAGCAAGGCAGAGAGGCCCTTTGCTTGCAACAAATCCTTGGTAAGTGACTGATTGCTGAATTAATACTGAGGAAGCATTACTAGTCCATGTAGCTACTCAATAATAATTATTATAAACTTTGTGTAGATCATTTCATTACATATAAATTGTCCAAGTTTGAGACTCAAACTGGACCTAGGCTTCCTAAGGGGTTCAAAAAGCATGGGGCTCCAAGCTGAGCCTCGTGATTCAACAGGAGGTCTTCCTTACACAGTGTGTTTCCAGTCCTGTGTGAATCATTCTAACTTAATTCTAAATCAGTTTTCCTTTGTATGTGTCTTTCATGTAAGTAACAGAGTGAACTTTGCCATCACACTTTGTTAAGTCACCCTTTTATGACATCAGGTTAAAAACACTTTTGCTAAGATGGTGATTCTTAAAGCAGTTTAAATCATTCATCCATGGCACTGGAGCACTCCCTGCTCCCTTCTAAACACAGCAGTCATTATGTGCCTTCTGCAAAACAAAGTGCTAGAGGGCCTGAGTGCTAAACCAGCAGCAGTTTCCAGCAGGCTTTTGAGAACACTTGCCTCTTTTGCCTTACTCTAATAGTAATTTCCTGGGGAAGACACTGCTTCTGTTGTAGTAAATAAATACTACTTCAGTTTATGAACAGGACTGAATGACAGATGTTGTGACTTACAAGGCACTGTCTAATCTTATGCTTGTTCTACGGGCCACCAACCTTTAAGGCAGCTGAGTGTGCATTAGGTTTTCTATTAGAGACTGCAGCTGTGGCTCTGTTTCCACCTTCCATCCACATAGCACAACTGTCTGCAGGGATGCAGCTAGTATTTGACAAGCACCACAGAAAAATGAGATAAATTCAACTGTGGCAAGATACTGAACTCCTCTACCCTGTTGTTGTAAAGACAATCTGTGTTGCAAGTCTCCTGGTTCCACAGCCAAGAGTTATTTTCTTCCTACAAAGAGCTCAGTGACATTTGCCTCAAACCATCCAATTTCTGCATAGATGATTTGCAGCCCTTTCTCCAACCCACCCTCCCCATGCACGGTGCTCGGAAAGCCAAGCAGACAAAGGCCCCTGCTGCCTCTGGAACGTGCCTTGCAGGCGCCGGGCCAGCTCGCGGGTGAAGAGCACGTTGGCCAGCTTGCTGTGGCAGTAGGCCAGGCCGCGGTTGTAGCTCTTCTCCCCATGCAGATCGTGGAAGCGGATGCGGCCGCCGTGGTGAGCCAGGGAGGAGACGTTCACGATGCGGGCGGGGGCACACTGCTTCAGACGCTCCAGCAACAGGAAGGTCAAGAGAAAATGACCTAGGGGGAGACAAAAGGTCATCCCCTGCTTGCTTATATGTGGGATCTTGCTGCTGCCCTCATTTCAAGTCCAGGAAAAAGAAAATTTCTGTTAAATTCCCCTGAATTAACATCTACACTTTTTTGGGGCCTTCAAGTTCTGCTCCTCATGTTCAAAAAGCTGGAGCTGTCATACATTTCAAAATGTCCCGGGTAACACGTACAGATACTTAAACTGGATCTCTGATATGCAAATACAGCACATTGCATCTCCAGAACTCTTGACTCTAGCCCTCCATCCGTCCTGTAAAAGGAAGAATGAGGAAGAGAAAATCTGACAGCAGGATTTTCCTTTGGCATTTTGCAACAGATATCCAGGTTAGAAGAAGATGATCTTTAAGGGCAATTCCAACCCAAACCATATGACGATTATGTGATTCCATATTGAGTGCAAACATGATTCCACTGGCCTTACCAAGATGATTGACTCCCAGCTGCATCTCAAAGCCATCAGCAGTCTTGGAGTAAGGGCATAACATTACCCCAGCATTATTAATGAGAATATGGAGTTCCTTCTCCTCTGTAAGAAACAACAGACATCCTTAAACGAGGAAACAGAGAATGCAGACAAGAAAGTAGCACAAGTCACCCCTTGCTGTCTGACTTGCAGCCACATCACCTTAAAAAAAGGATATATCTCCTACTACAAAGTAGCTCATGGCCTCTGGCCAGCCCCTGCTATGAACCACAATACCCAAGAGGTACAGAGACAAGCAGGGCAGGGATTTGGCAATGGTTAGAAGAACGGACAGCAGTCCTTGGCAAATATTCTCACTAAAAAGAGACTGTACCTGCTAGAAATCTCTCAGCAAACTCCCGGATGGACTTAGTATCAGCCAAGTCCAGTTTTTTCGCAATGACTTCCTGGTTCCCTGTCTCGGCTCGGATTTCACTGGCTGCAGCTTCTGCCTTTGCTGTGTCTCTGCAAGCAATAATTACCCTTGCACCTGCAAGGAGGGGAGGGGGAACAACAGGAGCAGGAAATGAGATCACTGGAGCACACTGGATGATCCAGGCTACAACAAGCAGGCTGACATGCCCAGCACTTACAAACAATATATTGTTTCTCTAGGGAACTAGCATCAGTCAGGGGGGTAGCTGGAAGAGACAAAGCCTTTCTCACTCAAATGTGAGTTACAGTCTTGCTGAAAGATGATTTCAGACCAGGCAAATGCACATCTTAAGTGCCTTTGTCCATGTTCTCCCACATTAGGAGTGCATACAACAACACAGGTATGATAGGGTTGTTATCTGCCTCTATAATGGGAACATCAAGCCAGGAGCACATAAAGGTGATGGATTCCAGCCAGAGTAATTTCTAAATGGATTGTGAACAGGTAGTTTAATCTTCTTATCAGTTAGCCAAATAACATTTACATCAAATTAGCTTGAAATATAATGAAAGCACATAGTGCTGGACCTATGTCATCTCCCAACTTCATATAAGCAGAGTGCAGGAACTTTCCCAGTCCTCTCAAATCAGTTGCAATACAATGCATTTTCATGTCCCCAGAGCGCATTTTTGGAGTCCAAGCAATGAAAACAGTTCATTGGGAGGAACTAGGAACTTTCACCTCAGTGGTTACAGCCTCTGAAGGAATAGCACTTGGGGTCATCTGCAGTAACTCTGGAATCCAGTTTACTTCAATATAAGCCTGCAACACATCTTCCTTAGGTCCAGAAAAGGGGCTACTGACACAAGGCACAGCCGCTCCGGCTGCAGAGGGATGCCTGCACTTGCCTCTTCGTGCGAGGTCTCTGGCGGTCTCCTTCCCGATGCCTGTGTTGGCTCCTGTGATTATCACCACCTTCCCCTCCAGCCTTGCTGTTGACTTACACCGTCCTCCAGCGACATAGCGCCTGCAAGAGGGGAGGCACCAGTCACTTCTGCCTCCTCAGCGGGCCCCGTGCGGGGCTGAGCGCCCAGAGCCTGGGGGTTCGCATCAACACTCGGGCTCACCGCTGCGCCCCGGGCGCAGGGAGTCACGGGCGCCCCCATCTGAAGCGGCTGCTCACGACCCTGTCGCGACCGGGACACCGGCACCGCGCCCCCAATCCCCCGCGCTTTCCCGAGCGCGGCCCCGCCCCGTCCGTGCGTCAAGTGGGACCACGACTCCCATTGGCTGCTGCCGCGCGGCCCGGGGCCTTTCGGCCAATGGGCTGCGCCGCCGCGCCCTGAGGAGAACGCGGGCCCCGCCCCCTGCCGCGCCTCCGGAGCGCGCCGGTGCCGGGACGGAGCCCGGGGAACGCGGCGGGCGGCGCCGGGGCTGAGCGAGCCCCGCAGCGCGGCAGTGTCACCGGGGCGCTGGAGCTGGGCAGGCCGGAATAGCTCCGACTCCAGCGCGGGCTGCAGAACGAGATTCCCGCTGTTCGCGTTCGCGCCACACGCACACACACACACACACACAGGGGCGCCGCTCTGCAGGGCTGAGCATACGCGAAGGGCAGGGGCTGCGCTCGGTAAGACGCACCTGATGTAGGGCGCTGCCACGAAAAGAAAAACGGGGACGGAGACGGCGGCGCCCAGCGCGGCTTCCCAGCAGTTGAGCATCGCTGCCGCCAGCTACCCACGCACCGCCAGCGCACGGCTCCCGGCAACCCCTGCCCGCCCCTTTGGATCCGCCCCCGCCCCTCCCGCCTCGGCCTCGCCCACAGCCGCGCCGCCACACCTCTACTGCCGGGCCGCGCCCCGCCCCGCCCCGCCGCGAGCACCTGCGGGTACGGCAGCAGCCCGCTGCTTGTACTCCGATCTGGGTCCCTCGAAACATTTTGAAACGCGCTCCTCAATTAGGGAGCCGAGAAATGTCTGCAGACACAGCGCAGCGGCGGCTGTCGGCAGTGGCGTTTGAAACACACTAAAAATGTTTGAAGCACATTTTTACAACTCCACGCCGAGGTTCCTGTCATTAACCCTGGCAAGGGGCATGCAACCATGTACACGTGGGCGGGCGCCCAGGCCTGGGAGCAGCGCGGCGGCGGCGGGTCACGCCGGTACCGGGGAGCCCCGGGGTCGCACCGGCGCTGCCGGCCCGGGGCGCTCCGTGGCGGTGGCGGACGAGCGCCCCCGCGCGGAGCGGGCATGGCCGCCTCGCCGGGACTACAGCTCCCAGCAGGCAGTGCGCGAGCCGGCCCCGGCGGCGGAAGCGCCGGCCGGGGCAGGGCCGGGGGCTGTGGGACCATGGCGGGCCGAGGATCCGCGTCCTCGGAGCACCTGGAGCGGCTGCACGAGATCTTCCGCGGGCTGCACGGAGACCTGCGGGCCATCCCCGAACGGCTGCGGGGCAGCGCGGCCGGTGAGGCGGGGAGCGGGAGTGGACGTCTCTCGGGGCACGGGCGGGGCCGCGGTCCCTCCGGCCGGGGCTGCCCCGCCGGCTGCGGGGGCCGCGGGAGCAGTGCTGGGGTGCTTTCGTTAGCCAGGGGTGTTCGAGCAGCTGGGAGGGCAGCGTCCCTTCAAGGCTTTGGGGGGGGCTTTGCACTTGTGGGGATTGGGGACGGCGCTCTGGTAGGCGCTTGCAGGGAGGGGGCGGGTGGCTCTGCCGTGTGGTGATTTAGCTGCTGCCGTGGCCTGGTGGCTTTGCAGGTGTGTGGCTTCACTCCCCCGGAGCTCCTCTGCTCTGGCAGATTTCAGTTCCGCTGGCACGCAGTGCGTGCTAGGTTCACAGCATCAGTCTCTGAGGAGCAGTTGTTATTTGGATGCTATTCCACGCTGTTTCTATTTGAACTGGAGAACAGGAGCTCAGGGGGGACCTCCTCGCTGTCCAGAGCCAGCTGAAAGGAGGCGCAGCCGGGAGCGGGTCGGCCTCATCTCCGGGCAGCCAGCGACAGGACAAGGGTCTGTCAGTCTGTCAGTCTGAAGCTGCACCAGGAGGAGTTAAAGTTGGACATTAGGGAGAATTTCTTCACTGAAGGCGTGATTAGACACAGGAATGAGCTACCCAGGGAGGTGGTCAATTCCCCCCCATGGAGGTGTTTAAGGAAATACTGGATGTGGCACTCGGTGCCATGGTCTGGTTGACAAGGTGCTGTTAGGTCAGGTTGGACTTGATGGCTGCAAAGGTCTTTTCCAGCCTAATTGATTCTGTGGTTCTGTAACAATTGCAGCATTTTGGGGGTTTGGGGTTCTTGTCCCCACTTTTCTTAATTTGCTGTGTTGGATTCACATTTAAAACCTCATTGGCAGAAATAGAAGCAGTTTTTATCGTCAGAACTCCCCAGAAGCATCTGTAGATTTGTTGGAAAAAGTTTGCACTTTAAATGACTGTTTTAAAAGTCTGGTTTGTGCACTATGTACTCACAAAATAGAGAAAACCTATCATTCTTGCCACACTAAGTTGTATTAGAACACAGCCTGGTTTTACAGGTATTCTTTATACCACAGCGGTGTAAAATGCTCTGACAGAGCACTCCTCTGTAAGGATCTGTGCGTCTGATTCTGTCCTTGATGCTTGGCAATGTTCTGAGAACCAGAAAGGGAAGCAGCGCCACAAGGAGAATTTTGCCAGTGTCATTCAATGCTTCTGATTGAACCCTTCCCCTGAGAATTGTAATCCACAATCCACGGCTGTCATGAGCTGCTGCAGTTCAGGTGATGGGCAGGGGCTGTCAGCCACGCTCTGCTGTGGTGTTCATTCTCCCACAGTTGGTCAGTTTTCTGTAAAGTCATAAGGACAGTTTGTTCAGAAAATACCAGTCTGCACAGAGCATGAAACACTTAATGTCCTGTTTCTTACCTGGCTCTCTATGTAATAATGAGTCAAATTCAGGGTCACAGTCCTTGTCATCAGCATTTCCAGGAAGTTTGGTAAAAGAAAGGGGTTGAAACCCGCAAATGACAACTTGCAAACCTGACTTAATTTCAGTAGTGGTCAACAAGGATAAAAAACTTAAAAGAAGCAATACCTTTTCTGGTAGAAATCCTTATTTTCCTGTAGAAATCAGCATGATCAGTTTCTTGGTGAAGAAAAATTTTGTCAGGTCTCCTTGACACTGTGGTACACCTGAGCAATGAAGTCTAAGCCATGGGCTTAAATGGAGTATTTAGAGGCAGCTGGTTTTGCAATACCTGGGATTTTCTTTCAATAGATTGTAAATAATTGCAAGTTGAATTTGCTAAAGAATATTAATACAACTGTTATATTCTGTATTTTTTTTTCCTGCAAAAATCCTGGCTCTATTTTTTGAAAGTGTTTCTAAGAGAGTTTAATATTTAGCAATTTGTCTGTCTGGTAGAGTCATTCCACTCTCCTAATGTTCTTTGTTTGCTTCTTGTACTTAGGAGGAGGGGAATATATATTTATTTTTTGAGTTATCTGATCCTGAAATATTCAGGAGGTGATAGAAGAGACCTCGGAATACTCTTTTAAGACAATTCACATGCTCCAAAAGCAAAACAAAACCTGTAGTCCTTGGGACATCTTTGAGGGGAAGAGGTTTGGAAATGCTGTTTCACTCTATGTAAACAAGATGAAAAAGGGGAAACAGCCTGGATATGTTTCAAATCATGTGTTTTCCTCTACATGAATTCAGTTAGCTGTACTTTCCAACTGAATCTCTTGGTAAGTGATTGGAAATAGATCTGTTAGATGTTGATGAGCATGTGGGTAATGCTGCCGTGGCACAGGCGCTGCTGCAGCATTTTGGAGTTCTGTCCTTGTGCTTTGAGTTGTGGTTCAATGCACAGCGACTCCAGGGGAACCTCTCAGTGTATCTTGGTGTTTCTGGATTCCAGCCACATCCAGCAGAACGTTTTCCAGCCACATTGCTGGATTTCTTGCTGGCCTGTAGACAAAAAGGTCTCAGGCCATTGCTGCTTGGCTTACCTAAACTGTTCCATGACTCTGTGCCTTTTGGAAGCTGGCATTTCTTTGGCTGCAAGCTCATAAGTGCAGCATCTTATTAGTGTGCGCAGGAGAAACAAAGCAGGGAAATGCTGCTTTTCCAGATCTGTGATGGGTTTCCATGGCTTTGAAACAGCAAAGTGGGTGTAAGAGGGCACTGCTTGAATCAGATTAGTGAAATGACCTGTGTGAAACAAATTACTGACTTCCAAAGGCTGTTTTTCCACAGTTCATGTCCACGATTTCACTTGTAACCCAGCTGCACAAACAGTGGCATCAGCACAAATGTGTATGGTGGCAAATCATGGAGGAGGTTGAGGAGAGTGTATTTAAGAACCTCTTTAGTCAGCATTTCCTCCTGAATAAATTGGGATGTGAAACAGCATTTCCTGATACCAGCTGATGTGTATTAACAGTCATCATGTAGCTTAGTTGGTAATAATTCTGTGTGCTATGTGAGACCACAGCTACTTCTTTAGAAGATGGGTTTTAGTTCTGTCTTAAGTTCTCCACAGTTGAAATTCTGGGCTTAATCTGAATTTGAACTGAGCAGGAAAGCCTACAGCTTAGGTGTGTCGTATATGTGAGAGGAGCTATATACCAGTGTTCTGAACAGGCCAAGTTTTTTATCTTCTGTTGAGATCTCAGTGGTTTAAAAGCTACATCTTTTGCAGATGACTGTGCTTACCAAAAAGCATTATCAAGTGAGTTTTTTTACTGCAATGATGTTTTTATAATGTTGTGTGTAATTTTGTCTTTAATCAAGTTGGAGGAGTTTTACCAAGGTGGCAGTCTACATTTTCTTCTGCCTAGAATTTTGTTTAAGACTGAATAATACTCTTTGGAGAGAGGTGAATTAAGCTAGGTGCATAGTTATCAGATTTCTGATAGAATTTGGTTTTGTTTGCAGTAGTCTACAACAGTGGACCTCCTCTGGTGGTCATCTTCAGTGCTTTTGCAAAAGATTGCAGAACATGTGTTTTTGCTCAGTTGAGATAAGGAAAGTTTTGGATTTATACTTTCATTGAAATTCATTTAGAATTTCATTCATTCATCATAGATATGATAGTTTTTTAACACATGAAAAATAACAGGCCTTAAAGTTTTGTTTAAAAATAGAGTAACAGCAGTGAAACCCATTCTTTGGTCTCCAAAGCCCTAGGAACACAGATCTGGCTAAAGTGCTGTCTCAAACAACTGAAATGTCCAGTGTTGGCTGATTCATGTCATTCCACAAGAGGGAAGTGTTTGGGCTTTAGTCTGTGACCCTGAGGGGATACCTTGGTGGCATCTTTTATCTCAGAGAACTCTGGAATGCTTATCCTGTGTGCTTAGGTACTTTATGGACACGGGAATGCAGAGTGCCAGATCTGGCAGGACCTTTGGGTCTCGCTTGGGAATGTAGATTGACCTGATGTTCTGTTCAAATCCAAATTGTAGTTTCAGCCTTCAGTAATCTTGCCAAGTGTTTCCAAAAAATAAGAAATGTATTTATGAGTTCTTTACCAATGTGTCTTCTTTGCTGTTCTTTCAGCATGCAATTCTGTCAGTAGACATTGAAGGACAGTAGGTCAGAAAAATATTTGAACAATTACTTCTTTTGTCTAGCAGAGGCAGTGTTCAGCATTTGGAAGAGCGATTTCTGCTCTCTTTCCCCACTCCTATCTGAAAAGTTGTCATAAGAACAAGCTGTTCCTATTTGAGATAAATTTTGACCTGGGGCTCTGGAGTCAGCTTCCTTGTCTGTGGCAGCTTCCTTGTTTTTAATGGATTAAGTTGGAGTTCTGTTGTCATTTCTGTATAGTTTATCTGACATACTGCTTTTACTTTCCCAGAGGAGAAGAAGAAACTGGTTCGCGAATTCGATGAGAAGCAGCGTGAAGCCAACGAGACAGTGAGTGTGGGGCTTCTGCCTTCCTGAGGGCTGGAAGACTGCTGCCTTAAAAGGGACAGCACTTGCAAGTGTTACTTTTTTATGGATCCCGTTCTGGCAGGCAGGAGTTTAAGTTTTTTACTGTTTGAGAATTGATCTGATAGGTGTGTCTGTGTTTGTTAAGATGGTTGTGTATACTTATATGATACAAGAATATAGACACGTATTCTTACATGTTTTTTGAGGGGGTTTTGAACGCTCAGTTTTGATAACTGCCTTCACTTTGTTGAAGAAGGTAGAGCAGTGGAGGTGCAATTAAAATTGTTAGAGGTTTTAGGGCAGGCATATAGAGAATCTGCTGCCTGGGGTTTTTTATTGCACTGCTGTCTTTTTTCATGTTGGTCTTAGCCTGTCTGATCTTTCTGTAGTAGTGTAAAGGCTTGCTGGACAGCAGGTGATATGGAACAGCACCAGAAAAACCATGTGACTTGTCTTTTAAAACAAGACATTATGAATTAAGCTTTCTTTTCATATTTCACTGTGCAGTTTGTTAGGTTGTGTTTTGGTCACAGCTGAACATGATGCATTATTTCCCTAACTTACTGGGGTTTATTGACTGGTACCTCTAGGTGGTGATGTATGAGATATGGAGTTCCCTCTGTGAGAGCTCATGGTGGCATACAGCTTTAAGCATTTTGAATTTGTTACAGCTGTCACCAGAAGTTGATGTGAAAATTCATGCATCTAGAGTCTTGGGGCTTGCAGATTGTAACTCAGGTTGCCAAGCCTGGATGTTCAGAGCCTGAATTTAGTGCTGTGCCTACCCTGCAATAGATCTGAATGAGGAGATGGCTGAGGTGCTCAGCATCTTGTTTACCTCAATCTTCAATGGTAACCTCTTTTCCCACATCTCTTGGGTTAATGGACTGCCATGCCAGGACCGTGGGAGCAAATTCCTTCCTTTAGGGGATGATCAGGTTCATGAGCACATGAGAAACCTGAACATACTACATCTAAGGGACCTGATGAGATGCATCACAGAGTCCTGAGGGAATTGGCTGATGTAGTTGCTAAGCTACTGTCCATGGCATTTGAAAAAGTCAAAGCAGTCATGTGGAGTCCCAGGTGGTGCTCCACCAGGGTGATGTCCCTGGATGCCCTATTCCTGGAAGTGTTCAACTTGGCCTAGTGGAAGGTACCCTTACCCATGGCAGGACTGTTGGAACGAGGTGGTCTTTAAGGTCTCTTCCATCCCAAACCATACTATGATTCTGTCTCTTTGCACAGATGTAATAGAAAGCTGATACCCTTCCTATAAATGCTTAAACTATAAGAAAGTGAGAATTGCAAATTTTGAAATTTAGAGTGATGTTTTAGGGAAAGAAAATCAAGCATTTAAGCTTGGGAATTTTTTTTTTATTGCAGTGTTGTGTATGTGAAAATACACATGGGCTCAACAGCATTGGGTAGCGTAGTGTACTCAGTACTAGATGGGGTGTGGGGGGTTTAGGGTTATCCCCCTCAGCCAGTCCAAGACAAATGTGAATCCTTTCATCTGGTGCTGAATTTTGAGTATGGCTGCTGCTAAGCATGGGTTTGGTGCTTTAAAGAATAAACATCTTTTGTTTGCTTTCTTTTGTTGAAGCTGCGGGAAATGGAGGAAGAGCTGAAGTACGCTCCTGTGCCTTTCCGCAACCAAATGATGAGCAAAATCCGAGCCTACAGAAGAGACCTGTCCATGTTCCAGAGGGATATGAGAAGCACAGATTTGGGGTTGGGCCGTGGAAACCAAGGCGATACAAAATATGGGATCTTTGCCACAGAAAATGAACAGAGTGTAAGGATTGGATGTAAATTTGATCTGACCGTGCTGTGATCGTGCAAGAGCATTACCGCAGATGCATTGCTTACAGTGCTTCTACTTTAGGCTACCTCTGTGCTTTTATAAGTCCCTGTATATCTCTCTGCATGTAACATGAATATCTCAGGGAGAAGAACACCTGGAACTCAGAGGAGAGTTTTTCTGTTTAAAACAAAGATAGGAATGTAATCAAAATGGAACTCATTGAAAGACACGTGGTTAGTAATTTGCGCAACATTCTGTACCAAAACTCTTCGTTTAATCATTCCACAGGTTTCCCTTCCTACAGAAGGGAAAACACAGAAGTGATGCTTCTTAATGAAAAAAAGGTTAACTCACCTAGTTCTAATCTCCAAAACTAGCAAAGCATGAATCATGCATTGTAGAGGTTCTTTGGTAGAATTATCTTTTAAGCGATCTTAGTGTAAATAATTTCAAGAAAATATAAGGATTTTTTTCTCTAGCACTTTTTTCACTATGGTCTTGCTGCTACAATGCAAAAAGTACACCAATTTCTTGTTTACCAGATAGGCTTAGAGATATCTGAGCTAGTGAGACTGAGTCTCCTTATTGTCTTCAAAGTGCTGTCATCTGTACAGAGGTGGGCTTTTCATTTTTCTGCTTTAGATGAGGCCAGTTTTGAGGGGGGGTTCTTTGTTTAGTATTTCCTTCTGCTGCAGCTTGGGAAATTTTTGCATTTGATTCCTCTTGACTGATTACTCTAAAACCTGAGAGCAGGGTGATAGATTAGACTTTCTGAAGCTTAAGAAAACACTTTATTTTGAGCTACCTTCTGACCCCAAGGTCGGCAAACGCTCCTTATACTCTAAACCAGGCTACTGGCATGAAAAGAGGATCTTTGTTACTTAGCTGTCCATCTGTTAGTGCTGTTTGTTCCTAATCCTTTTGACTGTAAACTCTTAAAGATTTCCCTGGCAACCAACTGTGAAGGCTGACTTTAGATGTGAATTGAAGTAAAAGTTAGCATCTGGAAAAGAAAGGTACTATTTTTATGTAGATGTTCTTTGATGGGAAAGTAAATTGTTACAAAGACAACTTTTTAGAACTGTTTTAACTCTTCAGTGCTGTATCCTTTTTAGAGATTTAACCAGATTTGGTCATAATCTTACAAGGTGAACAAGGCTCCGCCAAAATTAACCAGGCTGCATCAGTAAACGTAAGGAGCGTGTACAGCTAATACAAATGGATGGCCTGTGGAGTCACATTCTAACTTTTTAATGCCACAAGCCTAATACTTCTGTCTTTGTGCTCAAAAGTTAAGCATCCATTACTTTTCAGACTAACCTGCAGTCCCAGAGGGTGCTGCTGCTCCAGGGCACAGACAGTCTGAACCGAGCCAGCGAGAGCATCGAGCGCTCGCACCGGATCGCTGCCGAGACCGACCAGATCGGCACGGACATCATCGAGGAGCTCGGCGAGCAGCGCGAGCAGCTGGAGCGCACCAAGAGCAGGGTGAGCAGGAGACTGGGCACGGCTCAGAAACAGTCTGCTCTTATTAGTGGGAACTCCATGCCACCAGTTACTCTCAGGGACCTTCCAAGGCATAGACATCTGATTGGATAGCTCTACAGACCAAATTCAGGCTGCCACATTGCTATTTGTTCTCATAAAAGACAAGTAATTGCTGTAGAAGGGTTCAAAGCGTGGTGGTAAAATGTCTGCTGCTGTGTCTGTGCAAAATGGGAGATTAGACCTATAGATCTGCTAGAAAAAATAGCATTACTGAAAAAGTTGCAGATCATAAGGAGTTGTCTTGTGACTAGACTACTAGTTAAAGTTAAGATTTTGGAAACAGTTAGCAAGTTTTTGTAACTAAATTAAATTTAGTAGAAGAGTAATTACTTAATTACTAGCTTTCCAATATTTGCAGGGAGGGAGAAAATGCCCGACAAGGTATCTGTTCCTCATCCTTGGTTCAAGAAGCTCTGCTTCTGCTGTGAAAGCTTCAAAAACGAGTTCACTTGTTTTGTTTACACACGTATGCAAAACTGACAGTTTGATTTTTGAACTAACAAACTGATGGGATTTTCTGTGTGTGCAAGGGATCCCGAGTGTAAAGCTTTTAGGTGAGTGACTTCAGGGGACACCGAGTTTGGCAAATAAGCCCACTCAGCCAAAGCAAAAAGCACACCCCTGCTTTTGGGAGTTCTTTCTACTCATTGCAGCAGAGTCTGTAGCTTTTTCGTTTAAGTAGTTCCGTAATTTCAGTCAGAATTTGATTTGTCCTGTTCCAAAATTTGAGTTAGAAAGCAGGAAAGGAAATTGATCTTAAGATTGGTAGGTATAGTTTTTGTCCTTCAACTGATAAAAAGTATTACAGTCCTTCAGGCATCACAGTCTCTCAACAGATCATTCACAGAAGCATAAAATTGTTTAGATTGGAAAAGGCCTCAAAGATCATGCAGTCAACTGTTAACCCATCACTGCTGTGTTCATCACTAAACAGGGTCTGTGACTTCTATTGTGAGCCTCTTAGGCAATGAATTGTGGAATTGTGTGAATCACACATTCCAGCTGGAAGCAGACTTTCTTCTTGCTTGTGCTTTCATAGTGAAGATTGGAACTCTACTAAGCTCCCAATGGACTTGATGGTTTTCTTCCTCAGCTTTGTCCAGTCCATCTCAGTGCAAAGAAACATACAAGCAGCTTTGCAGTTGTGGGCAATGTGTTAAACTACAGAGGAATTGTGCAGGCAGGTGTCTGTGACATAAGTGACCTGGCTTACCCTTCACTTCCTTAGAATGTTTGCAAGTGGAATAGTGAAATCTTACCTGGAGAACAGTGGCCATGCATCATGAATTGTCTGTGAAGCAGCAGCTTCTTTAGTTGTCTATAACTTCACTTAATTGCATGTTTCTTAATAGCTGGGTATGCTGGGCAGTTCATTGCTGGACAATACAAAGCTGAAGTGGATTATCCATTAACAGCCCAGAGCTTGTACCCACTGGGTCACTTAGACCTCTGAGTGCAACACAGTTCTTTAATAGAACTTGAGCAGCATTTCAAACACTTTGATATGCACTGGGGTTAACACATCAGTATCACTCTCTTCTGGTGTTAACAGAAACGAAACTTAATGAAAGAAGTTAATACCACTTTTCTGATATTTGTATATTAATTAAAGAGGCAGAAAGTGGTCTCAGATTGCATGTCTTTGTATGTATCTAAGGGAAAGTATAGAGAAAAGTCTTAATTTCTCCTTAGAAAAGAGGCAATGCTTCCAGCTGCTGTTGTGGGTAGAAAACAGTGCTGTGTCTCAATTTTGAGAGGACGTGGTCATCCTGTCCTGTAGTTCATTGCAGCATTTCAACACCAGCTGTTTTCACATGCATCTTCCCAGAGTTGATGTGTGTTTGTTTAACTGACAAGCAACTTGTGTCTCTCCTCAGTTGGTGAACACCAGTGAGAACTTGAGCAAGAGTCGCAAGATTCTGCGCTCCATGTCCCGGAGGTGAGCGGTGTGCAGGCTGTTGAACAGCACTGACTGTGTGCTGTTTGGTCAGGGTGGTGAGGACAGAACCATGGTGAGGACAGAAGCAAGTTACAGTGACTTGCTCTTGGTGCCTTCAGATGCCCCTCATTGAGGTTGGGAAAGGCTGTGCCATAAATCACTGCAGCATTGGGTGGGTTAGATGCCTGATGACACAGACTAATCTGTTTAGCCCACACCAATGCCCTAGAGCAGTTAGTCCTAGGCTGGCCCATGAAACACTCTTCAGCTGGACCATGTATGATATTGATGGCTAAAACCTTGGCTTCTTAAGTGGATTTGCAGTTTAGCTATATTGTTTAATTAGCCTTAAAAAGCCAGTTCATAGATTGTATTGCCAGCAGATACTTATCCCCTCACAACCTTTCCTTTATGCCTATTGCCAAAGGAAGTTGTGATAACTGTCTAGTTTTCAGTAGTAAAAGTACTTTATTATTTTGAGATTTTAGTTTTCCTTCAGCAACATAATTCCAAGTCAAAGCACTACCATGAGGGTTTTTAGCACAGGACTTCAGGTATTGTTTTCCTCTTTGCTTGACTGAAGGAGCAGGCACATATAGAGCAATGATCTGCCTTCTGTGGGACAGGGGAAGAGGAACAGAACTGCTACTGCTGAAATAGGAGATTCAAACAGGATTTCCAGGAAAACAGGAGCAGTGAACTATTGAGTTTGGCCCTTTCTGCTTGTTAAGAGCTTTTTGAAAAGCACAGTGTGGTCTTGCTGAATCAGGGAAGGGAAGATGGGGATCTGGATCTAGAATATGCTTTCATAAACAAGATTAAAAAAACCAAAAAACCTTGGATTTTTATTTTTAAACTCTAGAATAACCACAAATAAGTTGCTGCTGTCAATTATCATCATCCTGGAACTGGCCATCCTAGGAGGTGTGGTCTACTACAAGTTCTTTCGCAAGAAATGAACCTTCATGATCAATATGAGCTTTTCCACTGATGAGGAAGAGGATGGGCTCTCTGCTCCCTTTGACTGTCTGAGGGTTGAACTGAGTCATGAGACAGCACATTTAACTGAAACTGTACTGACACTTGAAAGACAGAGAATGGGAGTAAAAAGAAACAGGCTTGAACTACTGGTAAGATTAATAAGAAGGTAATAAATATTTTATTGTCTCATTTTGTATATACTTAACTAAATGAATAAATCTTGCTATGTAATAAAGTAGCCACTGATCAATGGAAAAGCTAGTTTATTTAAAAACTGAGATGTTAACAGTATTTGCCAAGTGTTGACAATCTATCCACTCAAGTGCCTCAGCAGAGCTCTGTAGTGTCCAATATATCCAGCATGGGTTCTTAAATCCTCACTTGCTCTTCACTGTCAGATTCATCTGGAGAGCTGGGTGTTGGGAGTTCATCAAAAGTGGTGTGTGCTCCTTCCCTTGTCTGCCCAAAGCACGTCGCTATCACATCGACTGCAAGGCGAGCAGTTGCTTTCACTGCCTCTTGAGAAGCTCCCAGCAGTGGATTGACTTCAACCATGTCTACAGCTGAAAGCATTCCTGTGAAAATGATTGGCAGCTTTGTTACTCTGACAAAGGGTACAGTCTTCTGCACGGTTTTGTTTGCAGCCTTTTATTCATTGTAGCAAGTTTGGTATTTGGGTTTGTGACCTGCTCTACCCCTTAGACAAGTAAGATTGGCACTCAAGGGATGAAGTTCGTTCTCAGATGCAAATTTGTGTTTTGAATTTGGTTCTTTCTTACATTGTCACTACCTCACTCATTTGTGCTTTCAGCCTTCAGGAAAAACATTTGATGTTCCATACACATTTATGAGAGGAACGTTTTTTCTCCTAGTCCAAAAATGAGGGTAGTCTCACCTCATACTCTTTTGCTATCCTGTTCATGAATCTATAGACTATTGTCTGGTTGGGATTTTTTTAACCTTCTTTTACTGCAAATAATATTGTTTAAACATATTAAATAAAAACTTGATGGTAATAAGATGAAAAGTCCTCATATATTGAATCAACTGCAGTATATTTTATGAAAGCTTGATTTGTTAGTCTTGAATCCTAGAATGGAATTTCAAACTTTAAGATTGTTTGCACCCATTTTTGTATCCCAGATGCCCATTTTCACATCTCTCCTCATGTGTTTAGGATTAGGGAACAATATTACACATTTTTGACATTAGCTGTTAACATACTGTGTATTTTCTTTTGCTAAGCTGAAGCTGTTGATGATCAAGATGCTTCCAACACCAAGGGAATTGCCAGTCACAGGAATTCTTTTTCCTTTACTGAAGGCTGAATTGACTTTGCAGGCACCTTTGCTTTGACTACATTTACTATCTATTTATACCACAAAAACATAACCAGTATGAGCTGTGGGTAGTTTGTCCTGTCCTCGCTTAGCCCCGTAGTGCTGGTGCTCGTACCTGTGTTGTGTATTTCCTCTGTGATGTACATGCCTTCTCTGTAAGTTAATCCACCTAGAACAGGAGTCCCCGTCGCTGGAGCCAGGGAGGGATCAAAAGCATCAATGTCAAAACTCAGGTGAATTGGTCTCTGTCTCCTGAGACAGAATAAAACAAGAAAAGCAATCTTAGAGCCTTTAAATGTTTTCTATGTGCGTTTCTTACTGTCTAGGCTAATCAGCAAAGTAGCATCAAGCTCCTTGAACCATGTCTCATATACATTAAAAAAGCATCTACTCAGTGAGGGTTTGGTTGAAGATAAGTACTTCAGTTCAAACCATCTTAACTGGTATTTGTCATCTCAGTGGGATGAGGTAGAGAAGTGTATGATACAATCCAGCCTTTTCTCCTTTTGTACAGAAAGCCAGGGTGAAGGCTGAAACACTGATGTGCATGGCAGCTAGGATGGAGGAAGCACCGAGCTCAAGGATTTCACTGACAGTTCATCAAGATGAGCATTTTTCAGGTCAATACCAAAAGGCTGTACCCAAACCCTGCCATGTAGCCTAACTGCTGAAGCAGTAAACCTAAAATGTTAGTTACTTACTATATCATCTGCAGCTGATGACAGCTTAATAAACTGGACACTGCTTGTCACTCACATGAATTATTTAAGTGGCAGACTGCATACTTCCCAACTACTGCAGATGCTCAGTAAGGAGAAGCATCTGGATTACCATGTTCTTTACTTGGCACAGTTGCAGCGAGGAAGGGTGAGCACACCTTTAGGAAACAGCAGCATGCAGCACAGGTTCTAACCTGTGGCAGAGGTTACCCCTTCTAAGTGACCCTCTCCCAGCTCCTAGCATGGTTTGCTCCCTGAGCTGGTTCCCCAAACTTGAACAAGGGTCACAAAGGTGGCAGTAGTGAACTGCAGGAAGGGAGTGGTTAAAGTGAGCTTTACCAGCTGCACTGGCACTGGCAGCCACCAGCAGAACATCGTGTGTGAGCAGTCCAAGGAGGAAGCCATCAAAAGCTTCCACTTCCCATACCAACAGCTCATTTCAAGCTACTGTGAAGTTGCTGTATGTATTTTTAAAAGTGTAATGTGTATCCTGCACTCTGAGTTGATTCAAACGTTGTCAAACTGCAGAAAATTCAGAATTACTTAACAGAACCAAGCAGTATAAAACAGCCACAACTGTAGTGAGTGGTAACCTGTCTCAGCCATCTGTCAAACACGGTGAAATGGCTCCAGTGCTGAGGCTTCCCTGTATTTGGGCACTGTCACAGTTCTGTACAGCCACCCTACATCAAGAGACTTCACTTCAATAACTTTCAGGAAAGCAGATGTTCAACAAGAGTAGTTTAAATTAGATAATAGTTCATTACCTGCCCATCAGTTGTTCAAAGGTTCTTTCCATAACTTTCCGAATTCCAAGGTGATCAATATCCCTCATGGAAAAATACTGGATGTCAAAGTTCTTCAAAATATAGCTGTGAAAATAATTTTTTTAAAACCATCATTACTGGTTTAAGCTGAAATCTAGCAACCCTTATGGATGTGATTTCAAGCTTATTAATTCAGCCTTTACAAAAATATTTTAATCTAAACCAACTTACTGCTCAGCAGGATCCAGATCCCTCAAACCAATGTACACAATATCAGATGCTGAAAGGCAGGGCTTTAGCCAGGAAAAGCCAGGAAGTTGTGGTACCTGCAGGCAAAGGTTTGGTATTAGGTCAGTTTAATGACATACTTAACAAAATGCTATTGATGCTTCCCTGAAAACTTTGTATTGATTTATAGCATCCTTTCTCTCTCTAAACAGAGAAACTTCTGCACTTGACAGTTTGGCTGATGTCATCAGTCCTTACCTTCATTCCTATGTTCAACTGAGGTAAAATGATATGACTTCATCTGAGTTGAATGTCAGTGGATGAAGTTTTTAACTCTTCCACATTTTCCAGTTTGAAGAGGAGGAGGACTAAAAAGCCTGAATCCACAAGCAATAGGTAATTTGCATCAGTGAGTGTAAGGAGGAATGCTGAATAAATACCCAGATGTAGATCACTTACACAGGGCACTTAATGGTGATGCTCTGTAACTTACCCAGTACATTATGCTTAGGTGGAAGAATGAAAATCAAGGCAGCTCTGTCTTTTTAGGAGAAAAGTTTACAAAAACCATATTAAAGATGGATAAATTCAAAGTGGGAAGTTAAAAAAAAAAAAAAAAGAAAAATAAAAGACGGGGGGAAAGCAGAGCAGGAAGTTGGGCCTCTACAGTGGGTTACATCATGCTGGTTTTGATGCAGAATTGAAGAGAATAGGTCTAGTACAGCAACTGAAAGATTATGAGGTCTTTGTCAGCCTTGGTAATTCAGTAGTCATGGTACAGAATTATAAAACCTTTTGGTTAGTAACACTTGCTAATTTTAAGAGTGATATAAATTAAATTTCTCAAATTTCTCTTCTTCTCCCAGCTCTGAAAATGGCTACAGCCAACACAGCTGTCAAGTAGCTAGAAGGTTTTGTTTCCCTCTTAGACTTCTTAATTACTAATTATTCTAAGTACAATATTAGATGTTTTTAAAGGTGATCACACTCATAGCTACATTTAATTACATTGGGTTAAATTAGCACAGATTATAAAAGGGATAAATGAATTGGAGACCACTAGGAAAAATAAATTCAGGTTTCAAAAATGAATTACACAAAATTCATCATCACCACATCATGAACTGAGCATAATAACGACATAATGGCATAACATTGTCAGATACTCTCTAGTATGAATGATTCAGTAGATTTAATACTGCAATTTCAATTATAGCTCTTTCTTTGTAAATAAATACAAGTGAATGTGTTAACTGCCTTTGACAGGTTCTTTGCATTGTTCCCATGGGAAAGGAGCTGCTGATAGTAAAGCCAGAGGGGCAGGCATTTTCATGGGAAGGTGTTAATAGCAGTTTGTGACTTTGGATGGTTCCAGGAGCCCCAAAGCAGTCAGGAAAGGAGGATGATAATTTTTTTAGTCCCATTATCAACTCAGGTGCTGTATTGGATGAGTTAGAGGGTGAGCCATATGCAGTTCTGCACACATGATGGTTTGCTCCAGAGAGTCAGAGGAGTATTAGCCAGACAAATCATTGTCAAAGGCACATCCTCCTACTGCCAAAGAGCTGTTTAAAAATTCACATTTGTAGAAGCCTGGTGGTACCAGCAGGACTGGTGGTACCAGCAGGACTGGTGTTAGTTTTCCTCCCTCTAAACAGGAATACAATAGGGTAAGAAAGCCCCCCAGAATGAGTACACATTTAGAAAGCCCCCTGAGTGAATGCACATGCAGAAAGCCCCCCTGAGTGAATGCACAGACCTGTGTGTGCACCTGCACAGCCAGGCCTTGTCTGAGCTGCTTCTGCAGAGGCATCTGGACTGCTGCAGTCGAGGGGGGCTTGTGACAAGATCCCATGACCAGCACCGTGCCTGAGCAGCTTGCCACTAAGCATAGCCTAATCTTATTCTTTCTTCACTACTGCTGCTTGCAAGAAAGGCCTGCTCCCCCACTGACCCCAGAAAGCTTACAGGTATTCTTTTAGCATGTCAAAAAATCCCAATAATTGTA